TTTTTGGATATTGATAATCATCAATTTTTTATTTTGTTTTCTACCATAAAATCATTGGCAATTTTACAATAAATAAATTTAATTAAATTTCATTTATCCAAATCTCATATTTGAACAGGAATATTGATGTTGATCATTTGAAATGTACCCAAATGCAAAAGTTCTCAATAAACCATTATCATACTGTGATAATGTATATATATAGGTTCATATGTGAATATTTGAATCCTAATATAGATTCACATGTGAATTTTAACCCTAGCTTGTTCCTAATGCATAATGGTTCATATATGAACATGTATATGTACATATGTATTGGTATTCGTATGTATATATGTATCAAATAATCCAATTGGTAGGCTCAAATAGACTACTAACCTGCCAAAAATGTCTTGCTTTGATCGGGTCATGATTTTGCATTATTGATGACGATTTATTTCCATGAATTCCACCTCTTTAGACCAGAATTACCTATTGTTCAAATTAAATATAAGATAAAATTGCAAGAACATTGTAACAACTCAAAAAACCAAAAGGGTCATATTCATATAATAAAGACAAACTGGTATCAGATGTAATAAGTACAAGGTTTGTCCATACATCTCAAACAGTTTACAATGAGTAAATGACATCCACCACTGAGAACTATTACAAAGATAAGGACAACTTAAACATAAAACACCAAGCCATCCCTCGAACGAACCATATCTTCCCCTTCCCCTTCCCCTTCCCCTTTGATGAATTTTCCACGTGGAACTTACCTGAAAATGGTTTAGTTTCGAAAAACGAGGGTTAGACCAAAATGTCTAGTGAATTCCCTTGCTTTCACAATCAGCAAATAAAGCATTTATAGTGAATAGTCATCAAAGAGATACAACAATCAAGTAGACATCCACATTATCCAAACATTGACTTTGCACAACGTTCATAGCCACACTGTCACACTGAAAATCTTATCTAGTAAATGAGAGTGATGACTCCTACTCGGTTAATAATTATCATATAAGAAACGCTTAACAACAAATTTACTATGTCGTTTTGATGGTTGGAAATCTTACCTGATAAAACAAGTGAGGTTGATGACTATTGCTAGTAAAAACCAAGTGGCGAGGTCAAGTCTCAAGCTTTACGAGTTACGACGTTTTTCATGGTGTATCCCCAGGCGACATATACACACACAAACTTGTGTGTTAATTAGGAGTCGTGTATAGGGATGAGAGTAAGTATTTACCTATTTAGTGTTTTAGTTTTAGGTTTCCTTTTTATGGTTTTAAGTCTCGTACATAATTATCATTTACCCCTCAAGTTGTATATTAAAAACGCCCCCTTAGTATTTGATGGACGATCTCTGGTATTAATTTGATTATATTTGTATATATTACCAAAGAAATTGACCAATACATATCGGTCAACGAGTAGATTTAACCGGATACAAACCGACAAACGGAAACCAATGTCAAAGTTTATGGATATCCATCACTAGAGTAAAGAGGGTTTTTTTTTATATTTATAAAACTTGAAGGGTCTATTTTTATATTTTTAAGTCGGCTGACATGAATGCCTAAAACGACGCCATTAACACTGGAGACCCACAAAGCATCCTTTTTCGCACGCCTACGTAACTCTACACGCGCACACACACTATCACTCTCTTTCACGCACCAGTCTCGAAAGATCGCCGTGAACGGCCGCCGTCACAACGGAAAAACCCTCGAGATCGTCAACAATTGACCCCGATCGCAAGAGAAAGAAAGCATCGGATCGGAGTGCCGTCGCGGATCATCATACTAAACACAACCACCACCACCACAAGAAGAAATCGAAGATGTCGCTTTCTTCCTCTGATAAAGTTAGGGCATTGCACATACTGATAAAGCACCAAGGATCTCGGCGTAAGGCTTCCTGGAAGGATCCAGAAGGTCGGAACATCAGCAACACCACTAGAGACGCCGCTGTCGCTCAGCTCAAATCTCTCCAGGATGACATCGTTTCTGGGAAGTCCAAGTTTGAGGACGTCGCATCTCGTTACTCCGATTGCAGCTCTGCTAAGCGCGGTGGAGATCTCGGTCTGTCCTAATCCCTAACCGCCTAACGCATCTTTTTATTTTTCATCACAGAATTTCATTTAGATAAGAAATTGGTTGCTTGATTTGTGAAATTAGTAAATTATTGATGCTTTTATAATTATATAGACATACTTGTTAGTCTATTCTCATGGTTCTTTTACTTGTGTAAATCTCTTACGTAGTTGAGGATAGAGTTGTTTAATTGTTGAAATCCTAATACCTGTATGCTTTAAATTTAATCCAACTAGTTTGAATGTCGACTGATATTGTGATGTGAAGCTGTTATAAACTAGATGAAGTAGAAACTCAATTATCAGTCGGCCAGCATTTTTATTGGAAAATTGGGGTATTCTGCTCGCAAATGTGGCTTAAGATTCATTAATGTAATTAGCCAATCCCTATTGTCTTCCCATATTCCAAAATGAAATCCAATTAGTTTGAGTTGGAAGCTTATTTACCTATGAATGCACACATGGATTCTGGGATCGGGAGGTGGAGTTCAAGGCTTTTTGTCTACCTTTTACAGATCTAGAGTGATTTGTAGGCATCATGTTAGAGAAAATCCGTGTGAGTAGTTCAAGCACAAATATCTGATTAAGAAACCCATGGGCATAATCAGAGGATGCGAAATGAACCTCAAAATAACCAATCGACAATCGTACAAAGTATATGCTTATTGAGCAATCAGGTGGAGGGATCTTTTAGTGATTAGTTGACAGTCAACAATAAGACCAGTAGCACAAAGCCAATATGAAGATTATATGTGCCTGTTTGCTTGTAGTCAGAAGTAGAAGGTTAAGGCATTACTAAACTTTGCCTCACCTTTCCATCTTTAGGCCTAACTCTGAAAATTCTCGCTTTATGCAGTTGGTGCACCTTAATTCTCTGGTTAAACCCATATAAACAACTAGCCTGGCAGGCTGGCATGTAGCAATAATAGTTGGAAATTGGATTCTGATGATTCTAGAAAGTATTTTAGTTGAAATGGGAAAATATAGGGTTGATTGGCTTTGGAAGATGGGAACACCAAATGCGATACTACTATGGCGTTGGAGCACATGATTCTTTACTCCTCATGCGATAACTACCAAACTAATTATTTGAGAATTTGTCTTTAACTCAGTTGAGTCTACTTGCTTCTTGAGTTGGTTTTAGTTCTATTTTCATTTAACTATATCTACTTGTATGCAAATTTGTCGTAATTGAGTTCTATGTGTAAAAGGAAGTTTGTTTGTTTTAAAATGTAGTCTTTAGGGCTGTTTACCTGCAATAATCACACTCTCATGTACCTAATTCGATAACATTTTTGGCCATCAAAATTGATTGTTGGTAAACCTCTTTTATGCGGTAAGCGCTTGCCGGGTAAAAGTCATTTCCTTACTTACCGGGTAAAAGTTGTTGGTCAGTAACATCCCATAAGAGCTTACCCAATAAGCATTTGGTATTCAATGATGGTCGCTTCTTATTGGTTTGCTAGCATCTTCTTACCTTTGTGATGGTTATTCGCATGAATATAATACCACTCCTGATGTTTGGTTTCTTATGGGAAATTACAGAAAGAGCCTTACAGGAGTTGCATATTTCTAAAAAACATAAGTAAGAGAATTGATTGTTTGATTGATATGCAGGATCATTTGGAAGAAACCAGATGTAGAAGCCATTTGAGGAAGCAACATACGCATTGAAAGTTGGTGAAATGAGTGATATTGTGGACACCGACAGTGGAGTTCACATCATCATCAGAACTGCTTGATCTCAATCTCTCTCAATCTCTCTCTCTCTCTCTCTCTCTCTCTCTTTCTTGGCATATTATGCCATTTTCAAACAATAAAGACCGCGTCTTGTCTTTTCCTTCTTCCATTCTTCATTGTAACTTTGAACCTTGTTATGGTATTTTTGGTTTTTGTGTGAACTCACTCATTTATGAACAACCATCCATACCCAACTTCGGTGGTGGTCCTTTCTTTCATTTCTCGTCTTAAATAACTCCTCTTTAAAACTTTAGGGGCCGTTTACTAAGCACTTATTTGGTAAATGCTTACCGGATAAATTTCCTTATCGGATGAACATGAGAAGGGCCAATAATCTTACTAGGTAAGAGCAATGAAAAGGATAAAGAGTCTTATCCGGTAAGTAAGGATGACGATTCTTACCCAGTAACTTGTTGCATTCGATATGTTTTGATGTACTAAAATCTTACGCATCAAAATTAATTATAATGTTGAATCTTATCGGTAAGCACTTAACGAGTAAGCATTTAGGTAAACGACCCTTTGGTCCTCATGTCATTTTACACAAATTTTTATGTTAGGGACGTGGCTAGTTAAGGGAGGTAGATAGAGAAGGGACTTGAATGGATGAATTTGGTATGTGATACAGAACAAGACTGGACTACAGGCTTGTTTGTTAGCAGCTTAATGAAATTCATAGCTTATTCAGTCGTGTTATATACGATTGTTTGTAGTGGCTTAATGATATAGAAAGTGGTTTATTCAATAAGCTTCTAGAGGTGAACATTATACAGAAAGCCAAAAAAAATCACAACCTGCTCCTCTCAATTAGAAAACAAACATGCTCCTTTCATTTATTAAGAAAACCCTCCTAAACAAAATCTTTTCTAATCTATACGGATGGATTAATCCGCATGAATAGATTTATCCATTCAGAACATAATGGTAAACCAACCAAACCAGCCCCTAAACATAGACCGAGACAACACAACCCTGAATGGAACAAAAATGAACATCACAAAGGTTGCTCTAAGAACTCTTTCTGTATTAAGAAGAAGATTCACAACTTAAAAGAAACCCATAAAACTGTTGACAACTTCGAAAGAAAAACCGAAACTACGTGTGAAAGGCTTCTCCAACAACTACAAAATTTAGTTTCGAGTTCATACCAAAATTTCCTACCCAACCCGTAAGTGTAAAGATGTTACGTATGTCTACCAAAATTTCCGCCTAAAGCTTTCATCCTTTTCGCTCTCTGCTGCTCTTCCACTCCCCGACTACCTCCGTCCATGTTCACCTTGATGTGTTGAAACCAGCAACTAGGCCCATGCTTGCAACCTCTAGGACTATTAAAATACACACATGGTGGTCGCTGTTCAACTAGGCTCACACCAATTCTTTTCAGAGATCCTTGAGGGTTGGAATTCTCTCGAGTCACCCCATGTTTCGAGATAAGTCTCCTATAGTAATGTGAGTCCTTCATCACAGTTGTTGCAGCAGATGGTGAAGACGAACTCCCAGGTTTCACATAATCAACCCTTAATGGGACTCTATACTCATTGATGAGTTCCCTCACTTCACCCGTATTATATTCGGAGGAAATGGAGCTGGGGATGGGCACATAGGCCTTCTGTTTCACTGGTATTGACTCGTTACTTTGACTTCCCGAGTTCCTATCAATTTGGTCGATCATGGATTTAACCTCTCGAGACATAGAATGGGCAAATGGGACCGACAGAGACCACGTGGTTTCAGCGGCCTTCGGTTTCGGTGGTCCTGGAATCGAGAGGGATGTGGATCCTGTGACAACCGGATGAAGTTCCCTCCTAGATGGCCTTGGAATGGACATGGGGACAGATGATCGTTTTTTAGGTAGAGCAGAAATGACTATCGAACTCTGATTGGATGAGAGTCCATGTTCCATCATCAACTGCTCGAGCATGTCTGGGTTGCGAAGAAGCTGGATAAGCAGCTCGAGGTCAATTTGACTTCCGGGCTCTTTAGATTTGATCAAGGCAACAAGTGCCACAGCTGTTCTCGTGACTTCATCTCTGTGTAAAAGAGTTTGACCATTGACTTGTGGGGATAGAGGAGGGAAGGTAAGAGGTTGTTTAGTTGTTTCTTCTACTTTTGCAGTGGGGATCAATGTCATTAGAAGGTTACCACCATCATCAGGTAACATATCGTCATTGATGGCGTCCAGGGGGACTATAGGGACACGACTATCATCAACATATAAACCGAGTGCATCTGATGCAACAGATGGGCTACAAGAAAGTAGGGGAATGTGAATGAGCATATGCATATTAATTTAAGAAGTCCAACAACTTCCCATTTTCCTGTTAGTTTTCACGGGTTTTAGCAATGGATTCATCTTCACTTGCATATGTTGTATTAATGGGTCGAAAACTTATTTTTAAATAGTAAAGATTAGATCATGTTTGATAAACATATGCTAACTTATTTTTTTGAGCTTATTGAAAGAACCCCATGTTGTTAGCCATAAGCTAGCTTCTGAAAAGCTACTTCACGTAGCGTTTCATTAAGTTTAAGGGGATTTTCAACTATTTTCCAATTATGCCCTTATATTTATTATCCAATTAATTTCAGCACGTCCTTTTAGGTCATTTTACATTGTTATATAACTTATCTGCTATTTTTTTACCAAACGTGATTAGTTTATCAACAAACATTTAGTTTTTCGGCCAACAACTAATTTACCAAACATAGCCTTACAAGAATAGAGCAGCAAAAGGAGAGGTCTTACTTGGCAGGAACGTCGGAGTGGTGAAGATAGATTACTTCAGCAATTCTTGATTCTCTTTGGCGTTGGATATGTGTTTCTTGACTCTCTGAGCCAGCTTCCATCTCCCAATTAGGGTCCACCATAAACTGTTTCATTTAGAGGGAGGGAATGCAACATTTCTTTTAATTATGAAGTAAAAACCTCCTAAACTTTACTCAAATTACTGTTATATAAAGTCAAAAGACATTGAGAAGTCATTCATCATTTCTTACTCGGGTTGGACATGCCCATTCTATTTGTGGTGTATTATGGAAATTCACCCCAGCAAATCGAACCCAGGATGTCCTAAAATGTTGTTGTTGAGGATTTTCGCGACCGACTCTAAGTTGACTTTCTCCCTTTCGCAACATTTTATCTAAAAAATGAAGTTAGTCATATCTTTATGGGCAATGAGATGTTAGATATCTATGTGTGGTTATATAAACATAGAGAAAGCCTAGACTGGAGAAGGGGTGCAGGCCTACGTGAAAGACCTGGAAGGATTCAACCTCCGAGACACATACCAAGTATAGAAGAAAAATATATACGAACCAAGAAATTCCAGCATATTCAGTAGGTTGCACACTCACATGGTACCTGCAACTAAAAACTATGGTACTTGTGATCAAGATATGTGCATAGATATACAAGGGGAAAGTTCAGTTAGGAACCGTAAATATTTTGAGGATGACGAGAACCAACTATTCATGAATTATTCTCGATGAATGCACCAAATATTCATGAATATCATGCACTTTCATTATTTATGATGAATCTATCACGATACACTATCATATTCATCATGAATAACTCATGAATGATTGGTTCTCAAAAAATTTAGGGTTCTCAAATGAACCTGCCTTTATATAACATAGATTATAAGGATTGTGAAGACAAAGGCACTCAAACAAAATAATAACCTGGTAATGGCAAATGAATATTTGGTTAACAAACTTCAACATGCAGTGACATTGTTGTAATCAAGAAACAAATCATAAGGCTACAAATCAACAACTAATAGAGACAAAATATACAACTATCCAGAAGGAGAACTTTGATCTGCATGCTTATATCCGTTTACTGTTTAGTCGGTATATTTCCAGAAAGATTATTGGTTGACCATTTATCAAAAAACTCATTTCCTATAATATAAAGGTTTTCATTGTTTATGAGGCAAGATATCTACAGGAATTCAGTGTGCGGTTTTCATTTCCAGAAATTGGACCAACTTTACTTCCGGGATCCTGTTAAGTTAGACTTAGATAAACATTCAAACAATAGACAAATAGCATCAAATCATGTGCTACTAGCTTCAATTCTATCCAACTTGCTATCTACATAGAATACACTAGAAACATCTTCAGTTGACCAATTAAATTTCTTTTAACGTTTCTGTGACCTAGATGGCATGTAGGATATTTTGTTGCATGTAGTATATGTAGATTGATTGCATTTAGCATTTGCGGAGCCGATTATAGGATTACTTATCATGCTCCTTGTGTAAAAGAAATGAGATCACAAACCTTTCGATCATATCATTCTTCCGTCCTTGCTATATAAACTGCGATAGTTATGGGATTGGACAGGACATAAAAAACTCATTGTCCCATGTGTGGCGCAGCATGGGACATAACAAAAACTCCGTTCCATGTTTGATGCGACATGGGACAAAAAGGCTTTTTTTTGTTCCACCTATTGGGACAAGAACGAAATAGAACTAAAAAATTTATCAATCTACCCTCATTTGATATAAATCTAATACGGCATTTGGTTTAATGTGTCATTTACAACTATTATATGATATATAAAATCATCAAACATTTTTGTTAAAGGGCAACTTTTCCAGTCTTGTCATGTCCAGTTCTAATCGTACCAAACACCAAAGAGACCACTTGTCCTAATTGCTACCTTTAAGATCATATAGTAAAACTCAACCGAAGTCATGGTCCAAAAAGGGAGAAAAACTAGTCATCTTGTGATGATCAGATCCTCACTCATACATATATTGTTTCAAAGGCAGAAACAGTCAGTGTGCTTATACCTCAATTCATACTCAAGAAAATGAAATACCTAACTATCGTATAGGATAAATTGATTAAACATAAGGGATTGTGGATGCATGCACAACCAGAAAGATTCTTATTTCATATTACCCTTTACACTTTAGAAGATGTTAAATCGGGATGGAAATGCTGGTGTTAGCTAGCTCTTTCTTTTAACATGAAAGAACTTCAAATCATGGAAACATGGTCATGATACCGAAGGTCTTCCCTCAAAATATTTTTTTGCCTATAGTGGATCCAAATTTTGTTCAGTCAAATGAAACGCCTGGATACACAGATGATAACCAAGGTTTGAAACATTCAATGGAACAGGGCAAACCCTCGGGGTAGCTCAACTGATAAAAATTTAGGTTTGCTACCCAGTGGTTTAGCCACTGGATAAGATTTTCATGAGAGAAATTCTCTTCCTCAAACATTTAACCAAAAAAAACAACAGCTGATGAACAGATCCACAAAAATTTTGTATGAACATCTGTTGAATTAAATATCAGGTAAATTTGGGCACAAATACCTGTAAATCGTGATTGATAATGAGCGCAGATGAACTCCCAACAAATCCTTCAATTGACTGCTACCAGAGTAAAAAAGAATAATTAGAGCAGAACACCACAAATTTTATATCTAAAACAAGTGTAATAAGAACCAAAATGACTTAAAAAGTGAGTGTAGAAACCTGCAAAATGATCAAATGAAACTATGAACACTGGTTTAGCAATGGAAGACATACTTCATAAACAATCTCTCAGAAACCCTAAGATTTCTACAAAGCGAATGAAACAACGCCGCAATGATGATGATGATGATGATAATAAGAACAAAGAGATGACGAAAACCTACTTCGCCCTAAGGATCATTTTTATGGAAAAAACAATTTGAAGAACAAATTGTAGGAGATTTGTTTGGTTGCCAAAGTGTTTATAAAACCACCAATGGATTGCATTCATGCTACATCTATTTTGTAACGCATGACCGATAGCAGTTTCGAAGTGTAGTGTGTCTGGTTTTCAGGCGAGAGTGGATTCTGGTTTTCCGGTTTACAGATATCTATGAATTAAAGGGTTTGGGGGAGGAGGGAGAACGGCCACACCAGAAAAGGTGGAATTAATTTCTATTTTTTTTTTGCTTAAAAATAGAGTATATTACGTTGTTCGTCCTTGTGGTTTGTTAAAAATTTCGTATTTCATCCCTATGGTTTTGAAACTACAATCTAGATTGGCTAATTGTTGTCTGATAGACACCAATTTGTCCACTATTAGTAGATAAAATGATTTCTTTCACTTTACGGGCTCCGTAACAAGAAATAATATATGATAAAATAGAAATCCTGGGTTGCAAACAGTGGGTTTTCGTATTTATGGTCTGCATCTCTTTACTATTTTTGTCCCTTAGGCGAATTCCTACTTTTGAGTATAAGGGGGTGTTCGGTTCACAGAATAAAAATTAATGGAATTGGAATCCATCAACGAAATTTGACTTTGAAGGAATTGTTCGAATGGAATTTGACGGAATTTGACTGCGTGTTTGGTTGGTAGGAATTGGAATGAAATCTCTCAAAAGAATCGGAATAACCATCTTTGTTTGAACTATCGCACCCATCGCCCTGTTCACATCCTACCAACCACCATGTCATTACTGTCGTCGTCACGGCTATCATTCTGCCCCACCCCTACTCGAACCCTGTCCCACCATCTCGCCCCTACTACTCTTGCCTCTCCCTTGCGAGTCGGTGGGGGTGGGGCTAGAGTGGAGCAGTGTGTGGCAGGGTGGTAGTTGTAACAACTATAGTGGTAGGATGATGGGGTGGTAGTTGTGACGATGATAATGGTGGGATAGTGGTCGGGTGGTTGCGGCCTGGGAGTGGGTGGTATGACTACAACAATAGTGGCATGGTGTTTAGTGGTGGGTTAGATAAGGTGGGGTGCGGGTGAGTGGCAGTTGTGAATGCGACAATAGTGGTGTGGGTGGGTGTTAAGTTAGGGGCGAGATGGGACGACGGGGCAGGGCGGTGTAGATGGGTGGCGGGGTGGTAGCTGTCACGACGACAGTGGTGGGATGGTGGTCAGGTGGCTGGGAGTGGGTGGGTATGACGGCAACAATAGTGTCATGGTTGTTAGTGGTGGGTTGGGGTAAAGTAGAGTGGGGTGGGGGTGAGTAGCAATTGTAACGACGACAATAATGGTGTAGTTGTGGGGGTTAGGTTAGGGGCATGACAATAACGATAGTAGCATGGTCGTAGTAGAGATGTGCAGTGAGTGAAGTAGTGGCATGGTGTAGTCCAATTTAGAGCTGAAAAATAAATACATATATTATTAGTCCAATTTAGAGCTCAAAACCCAAATTTAATTCAACTAGGTCAACCAAACTCAATCTGATTATGCCCCCTTATTTCCTTAACACGACTACACAAGTGTATTTCCCTAATTCGATTTGTATGCTTCTATTGGATGACCGATTTTGCTTGTTGGACGTTGCTACTAGTTACTGCTCATTATTGCTTATGTCGACAGGTATGCTCATTTTCTGCTTTTTATTGCTTCTGGACGACGGATTCTGCTTAATTTCCGCTCGTTTTACTTGATTTCTAAAAAATCTCATAGGAGAAAATTATTGGAATCATTTTTGCAAAAACAATAAATGAACGTGCCGGAGAACATGGACGACATTGATAGATATTTGGTTGATAAATCTATGAATATGAAGACTCCATCATTTGATTTAGTACTTTGGTGGAAAGATAATGATAATAGGTATATCATTTTGTCTATGATAGCTAGAGATGTTCTTATTATACCTATATTTATCGTAGCATCTGAATCTGCCTCTAGTGCTCATTTAGACTTTTGAAGTTTAATTCCAAGGGGATTTCAATATATATTTTTGGATGATTGTAATAATTAATAGCTTCATTTTGTACATTTTTAATAGTATTTATCTTATTTCATTCTTTAATTTTATGTATACTATCAAACCGCACAAGCTACCACAACCAGCGAGGGTTGGGTTACACTTTTAAATGGGTTGAGTTGGGTTAGGTTGAAATTATTCAAACCACTGCAATCAAGTTGAGTTATAAAAAATTCAAAAACCACCCAACCCAACCTCAAGCTGCTTACACCTCTACCGAGTGGTCCACAAACCCGAACCCAAAAATATAGTGTTTGTGCAAAACCAAAATGTCCCGAAATCCAAAAATTTGAAACCTGACTTTTGGAGGACTTTTAGGTTCGGGTTGCTTATGATTTTTGGTAACCAGACTCGTCCGAAAACCCGAAATATACATACATATATATAATTGAAAATATCATATAAATGCATTTATTTATCTAATTATATATGAAACATATTAAATCCTAATCGCTTGTACCTTTTTCTGAATTCTATTCTTTGCGTATAACTATATTCGAACCCGATCGACCTAAACTCGAAGCCCGATTCCTAAGAAATTCGAAATCCAACCTAAAATTCAAGGCTTGATTTCCATATCTGAAATCCGATCAGATTTTTGATTTGTCCACCCCAAACTTGTGCGACCCTATCCATGCACACCCATAAGCCATAAGAACGAAAACATCAGTTGGGTTTACATTATAAGGACGAAAATAACAATTTATAAGGACGAAAACAACAATGAACAGTAAATCATGGGATGGAAATCATAATTTCAAAATCATAGGGATAAGAATAGAAATTTTCGACAAATCACAGGGACTAAAAATGTAATTTACTCAAAAATATTTAAAACATTTTTATTAAATAATAATTATGTTTTAGTTACAAACGACGACTGCAAAAACCTCACTCCCAGACGCGCTGCCATTTTTCTGCAATCAGCGAAACGACGGTCGAAAGCGTAATGGCGTCGACGGGATCCCAACCCGCCGTTAACGGCGGCGAAGACATACCGAAGGTTGCACTGATCGCCGGAATCACTGGCCAAGACGGCTCTTACCTAACTGAGCTTCTTCTCGAGAAAGGATATGAAGTCCACGGCCTTATCCGTCGTTCTTCCAACTTCAATACACAACGGATCAATCATATCTATATCGATCCACACAACGCCCATAAGGCTCGTATGAAGCTCCACTATGCCGACCTCACTGACGCCTCCTCCCTCCGCCGTTGGATCGACACTATCTCCCCTGACGAGATCTACAACCTCGCCGCACAGTCACACGTGGCGGTGTCGTTTGAGATCCCTGATTATACTGCCGATGTCGTCGCAACGGGAGCTTTACGGCTTCTTGAAGCCCTAAGATCTCATATCACCACCACTGGTCGGACACATGTCAGGTATTATCAGGCCGGATCGTCGGAGATGTTCGGATCTACTCCTCCTCCGCAGTCGGAAAATACTCCGTTTCATCCTAGATCGCCTTATGCTGTTTCCAAATGCGCTGCTCATTGGTATCAAAACAGTCAATTCTGCTTACAAACTTTCACAATGCCTTCGCAATTGCTAGAAATCAAGTTCAATTTTGTCTCACAGATCTCCTATTCGATTTCAACAGGTATACAGTCAATTACAGAGAAGCATACGGGATCTTTGCCTGCAATGGCGTTCTCTTCAACCACGAATCTCCACGGAGAGGTGAAAACTTCGTGACACGGAAGATCACTCGAGCGGTAGGTAGGATCAAGGTGGGGCTACAGAGCAAGCTGTTTTTAGGGAACTTACAGGCGTCAAGAGACTGGGGATTCGCTGGGGACTACGTTGAGGCAATGTGGCTGATGCTACAGCAGGAGAAGCCAGACGACTATGTGGTGGCGACGGAGGAGTCGCACACGGTGGAGGAGTTTCTGGAGAAGGCATTCGGGTACGTTGGTTTGAATTGGAAAGATCATGTGGTGATCGATAAAAGGTATTTCAGGCCAACAGAAGTGGATAATTTGAAAGGGGATTCAAGCAAAGCGAGGAAAGTTCTTGGATGGAGACCAAAAGTAGGGTTTGAACAATTGGTGAAGATGATGGTTGATGAAGATATTGAGTTGGCAAAGAGGGAAAAAGTTCTGGTTGATGCTGGATATATGGATGCTCAACAACAGCCCTGATCATCATCTGCTGTACGCCATCTCTAATCTCTGCTACTTCTTGTTTCATTTGAATTGTTTTTAATCCAAAGTCCTGAAATCAATCCATGGTTTTTGGTTAATGGGTTTGTGGGCATATAATGTTGTTAAAAAGCAGTGAAAGTAGGATTACCTAAAAATAGATTTACAGTTTTACTTGTGTGATCATACAAACATATTTATTTATAACATCTCTTATAATGCAATGACATAAATCTTTATTTTAATATTTCGTTTTATTTTTTGTCTGTATGTTGATATAATACAACTTATATGGTTTTAAGAAAAACAATGTTTTTCTTTTTGAATAAAAAATAAATTTAAAGATATCATAAAATTTGAAAAAATACATGGATGTTAATGTCAAATTAATCATTTAAAAACTCTTTTTTTTACAATTTATTTAATTCAATTTAATTTATGTTTAATAGCGAAGTAATTTATTTTTGATTTAACAATATAATTTTTATAAAGATAATGATTCTGTTAGAACTCAATCATTATTCTAATTGTATTTTAAATTTTTTATATTTAAAATGAGATGTTTATCTTATATTTGATTATGTTTATCTGCAGTTAGTTATACGAATTTAAAAATAAAGCTTTAATAAGTTGTACTTACGTAAATTTACTTGTAATCTAAAATTTTAAGTAATATGCATTAATAAACAATACTTAATGCATAAAAAATGGTTTTCAAGAATTTTTGTCAAATACTTTATAATATAGTACAGGTAGGTTTTTGTTAGATGTATTACCAAATAATGTTTTATAAAACGTTGACGTGGCATTAAATGAACAAACAATTTTAAGTTCACTAAATCAATTTCTTTTCTGGGCAGTTACTTTATGAGTACTTGCCGTTTTAATTACCTTAATGATTAAGTATAACAAGGTTCGAGAATCTTACTTAATAATTCAGAAGATAAAGATCGAAAGTCTTACCCGATAAATACTTACTGGGTTACGAATGCTTATCATCAATTAAATTTGATGATGTTGTCGTTAGATCTATCTTGGCAAAATTAAGCATGGAGTCCCTCTCACTAAGCTTGTTCATCGGTTGACATCCATTGGATGTGAGGGGAACCGAACCAATCCAATCATTCATTGGATGTTGGATTTTGCCAACCAATCTGTTTCGTTTAACGGATTGGATTGACAAATTAATTAGATTGGATCGGTTCAGTTTCATCTATTGGATATCCAGTGGATGATCCTATTAGATTGGATCTATCCTGTTGATTCAATCCAATTATCTGACAATGGCATAAATTCATTAATCACTTTTAATATGTGTTAAAACCAATACAAGGGAAGTTAAAAATTCAAATCCTCACATAAAACAAATTCAGATTTAAGCAATTTGAAAATAAATTAATTGGAAAATAGTTGGATGGACAACTGGATGATCATCAGATGATTAATTGGATGTTGATCGGTTCGGTTCGGTTTTGGTCGGTTCTGGACTGCCATCCGAGAATCGATCGATCCAAATTGAATGTTGAAATTTTCAATCCGATCCAATCTAATCATGGTCAGTCGATTCTAATTGGATCAGTTGATTTTCTGCAAACCCTTACCGCAAATGTACTAACTTAAAATCTCAAGTAAGCTAAAGAGCACCTCCAACTTTTACAACGGATGTTATGAAAATTTTGGACTAATTTTTTTACTAAAAATATTTTGAAAGTATGAAAAAGATGTTAGAATTCTTTCGGAAAGGCTAAGGAGGTGTTTGGGATTGCTTATTTGAAATAACTTATGTTTTTCTAAAAAAAAAATTTATCAACTTATTATAAGTTAGAATTATTTAACTTCTTCAAAAACTCTTTATTACCGGTTTGGCACCGGTATAACCTGTTTATCCAAACACTTAAAAGTGTTTATTATCAATGCTACACCGAAATAAGTCAATAAATTATTTTTATAAGCAATCCTAAACAACCCCCAAAGCATAACATTTTTTAAATCTAAAGATTGAATTAAGGAGAAAACGGTAATGGCCCAAATAGACATATCTGGACTTGGTTAGTCTTTAAAACATTTCTAACAGATAATTTATGAATCTTAAACAAAATTAAAAATCTTTTTAAATTTAATTTTGATATTAATTATATTATTAAAATATTTCATAAATTATTAATACACATTTTCAATAATTACAAATTATAATTTTCTAATTTCAATATTTGAGTTCTAAATATTGTTTTAAATTTCTAATTTCACCGACTCTTGAATATTTTTATATTTCTTAATTTCTCTAAAACACCATCATCTCATAAATATGATTACGGTCCTAACCACGCCGGCCAATTAAGCCATTTGAAACCCCATACCGGTCTACAACCAGCCTCTATGACCGGTCTGGTTAAATTTTCTTATGCTTGAAGCCTCGAACTATTATCGTTTTCAGACATGTTAGAATGAAATCCATCACTTGTGAAAAGATCTCCAGATAATGCTTTACAAAAAAATTTAATAAATTTCGTAACAGTTTAAAATCGTACCCTAAATGAGATGCCCCATTTATATGCAACGACAAGGTGCATTAATAAGATCTCAAGTAAATATAAAACTGTACAACAAACGAGTAGCGATAAGTCACAGCTAAGGTTCAGGGTTGAGCTGTAAGGGTGCACCTTTTGCTGTCAAGGAAAGGCTCATGGTTGTTCCTAAATCAGAAGCGGTGGCTGCAAATGGCTTGACCGATGAGCGAAGTGGTTCGGGTCCACCAGCAGCAATTCGGTTGCATAAAGCATCACAATTACTCATCACTTCAGTTAGCCTTCCTTTCAGCTCCCCAAGTTCCACCTGTAACTCATCAACTGAATATGCAACACTTTCCTCTGGTTAGCTACCTGTTGATCCTTGAAAAAAAGCTTGTTTTTTTTTGGCAACTTTTAACCTAAAAAAACTGCCAATATGCTCATATACATCATGTCAAATTCAATAAAGAAACCAAATGAATACAAAAAATCTCACCTGGAATAGGGTTTGGAAGGGTAGGATTAGGGGTGGACTTGTTACCGTACTAAGTTTTTTTTCTCCAACACGGGTGTACTAACCAATTATAATCTTATACCATGTATCAACCAACTGTACTTGGTACCAACCTTTTTCGGTTGGTACATGTTGGTACCGGTTTTGTACCGACTTCAAGTTACATATATGAAAACTTACTATTATATTCAAATTTTGAGTGACTATTTGAATTTATAGGTTACACATGTGATGTTTAAAGGTTTTTAATTGCAAAGAATAGAACTTGCAAACATTCAAACGTTCAAAGAAGCAAAATAGTCAAAACTACAAAGTTTAATATTCAATACTTAAAAAATATAAAAACTACTAAATAATTAAATAAGTCAGTACCATGGTATGCAACTTCCAATACTGTCTACCAACCAAGTATGCATACTTGGTATGGTCATACCAACCGATTGTGTAACTGGTACGGTTGGTACACATGTTTGTTGGTTTTGTTTGATACAAAATTGCCACCCTTAGGTAGGATCAAACGCAGACCAAGAATTCTTTGAAGTGGTGGCACCATTTGACAATAAAAAAAGAAAAAAAGAAAATTATAGATATTTTTACAAAATCATCATTTGTAAGGTGGTTAGTAGTCCCTTGCATTTTGTATGTGGGGTCCTGTTTTCGAGTCTTCTATCCCAAAAAAATTCAGAAACATAATAAACTTGAAATTAAAAGCTAAAAACTATGAAAATGGTAGAAATGGTGCAAACCAACTCTACCAAGAGAAAACTTGTGTTATCATTGTAATTTCAAGGAACGAAGCTTTGGCCCGTGCCACCATATGCACCATAGTGGCCCGCCCCTAGGTAGGATATATGAGACCTTACCTCTACCAAGTTTTTTCCATGAAGCCTCCTAGTTTGCAAAGAAGTTTTGGTTCCAAAAAAGAAAAGGAAGAAACAAAGTTTGGAATAGTTGTAGAAAAAGTACCAAAAAGAAAGAAAAAAAAGCACACAAGGACATTAAAAACGTAGGAGAAGGGATGAAGGAAAGAATAGTTGTCATATTCAATGCAGTTGCTCAGTAGATTCATATATTGTATTTGTATTAAGAAGGCATTTAATGCATGTAACAAATAGTCAAATATATATGTGGAGTTTATTCTCGGGAATCAAAGGGGCAAAAGATGAGCATGTAAGGAATGCCAACAATTTGTGTGGTAGATTGGTAATATTATTGTAATGCAATTGAAGGGAAGAACGTTATGCTCTCACTTCCAAAAAAGAAGGAAGAAAATCGGATCCTAGTGTATGAAGCTTACTCAGCTTTGTGAGGGTTAACCAGGGATGTCCATTTCCCTTTCTATGACTCAAACCCATGGAAAATGTCTCCAAAGCTCTTGTGAAATGGTTTAACCAAAACAAACAAACCCAATGAGACTAGAGTCTTGAGAGGGTAAGATGTACACATACCTTACCTCTACCTCAAGGGGTAGAAAGGTTATTTCTGCAAAGACCCCTGGCTTGAAATTAACTTTTGAACTCATAATTTTGTGAGAAACATTTGGTTCTAAAAAGCTTGAATTAGTAGAAAGAGAAAACATAAATGGAAGAAAGCAAGTAAACCAAAGTGTCATTGGCCCAACGGTACACGGGTTACTGCCAGCCCAGCCTGAGCCTCAAAGGAGGTCAAGGGTCCAAACCTAACCAAAGGTGTGTATTTGCCATATATAAATATTATATACTTCAAGAAAAAGCAAGCAAGGATAGTCGGAGAAAAAGAAATAACTAAAACATGTACAGATAGTATGAGAAGGTACTAAACCAACTAAAAAATAATTTGCTTCGAAGCTGTAGCTGGAAAAACCAAAAAAGTGATTTTGGAAATTAGAAATTATTTTAAACAGAAAACAAATTTTTGCAGTAATTTGAGAGGATATACAAAGCATGTTTTAATCCAAAAGAAAATCTGGGTACCAACACTCAAAGAAGAAAGAATGACAGACATAAGATCCATTTCACCATTGTACTCGAGAAGAGGTAGATTTTATCCAGCAAAAACTGTGGAAACTTGGAAGCAAGAGGCTACAAAAAAATTCAAATCCATGTTGCAAAGAAGCCAACCAGAATTCCTAAAATCTGACGAAGGAAACTGGAAGTAACTAAAATATAGCTAAAGATAAACCGCCTAAATAATAACGATACACTATATGAGGATTGGTGACACAATAATAGTTATTAAACAAGCAAATCCGGTTTGTAATATCATGTGATTGTATGTTCATTATGCAATGAGCCTATCAAGGAAAATGGGACTAACACTAAATGGAGAACAACGGCATTTTCTTGTTCCAATTTGATTCTTATAATACACGAGTCAACAGATCTCAATGGAAACATTTCCTCGAGTAATAAAAAATTTTAACCACATTATTAAATTTGTGAACTAGCCAAGTAGAGATACCTCCAGATAGGTGAGTTGATGCTGTCTTCATTGCTGACACAGAGTAATTAAACCGTCGAAGAAGTTTTAGAGCCAAAGCATCTGCAAGCTCTATTTTATTTTCTATTTCCTCCTGCAGAAACAACCAACAATCGCACATTTTATAAAGAACGGGAACAACTTATATGATGTCCTACGGATTTTCAATGCAACAAATCAAAGTAAATTGGTCCAAAAGTAATGGATTGACCAATAAGAGTCAAAGATATGCTTTTCAAAACTTATCAAAACATTTACCATATTAAAAACGGACCTGTCTTTTGTTGATGTTCTGAGCCTGTTTTTCTTGCCACACTTGGTACATTGAGAATAGTTCCAGTAGCACCTTTGGATCTATAAGACCTGTCTCGAGCACAAGCAAAAAGATCAATACAAAAGGCTTTGTCAACAAAATTTGTTGGCAATGTTTAAATAATAGAAGAATTAGCTAGTTCCCATTAGGTATAGTGCAAAGAAAGATTATCAACTTCACTCTTTAATCTTCATGAGAGATAATGGTAGAAGAACAATCATAAAGGACGAAGTGTGCGCCGTACAAGGAAACTAAGATTTGATCTTCCTTACAGATGCAATTTAGCACTACAAGAGCATCTCAGATGAAAACAACTGTAGTACTTTTTCACTGTTCGCGTCTCCAATGAACATACGTTGAATCCATTCTTCATAGATTCTTTCAGTCACTTCATTTGGATCCATTCTTCATAGATTCTTTCAGTCACTTCATTTGGAATGGGCCATCCAAGATTCTTTCCAACACCCCCACAACTGTATCTTGGACAATACATACAACACACCCAGGGATTCTAAAGTCCCTTGCCCTAACTAACCAAACTTCACACGATGTCATGCCTCCTTGTTCCAACTCCTGATAACTACTGCTTCAAATTCTCAGATTTGATATTGAACACAGTGTTTTTTCTATCCTTTCTAATGTAATTGGATAGATGATAAGCATCTGCTTACCTTTAAAAATCTTTGATCACTCTTAATTTATTTCAACGAAAAGCCCCCTAAATTTTCATTATAATTTATATTATCAGACTCGTGTCTAAAACAAGCTCATATAACATGAATTCTAGCCGTTTATCCCCTATAACAGTTTCCCCCTATTTCTTCAAGCATTGAAGATGCTCTTTATGAAGTTACCAAGTTCTTCATTGTCACCCTTTATTATTAGGTCCCTTTTTTGGGTTGGTAACCGTGGGTTCCGGGCCAGCTTACACGCGCCAATTAATCCCCCGGGAGACCACGAATGACCTGGAGTCATCGTTGGTGAACCTCATGGCCACAAGGGCTTTGACAGCGCCTGGATTCAAACAAAGGAGAGATGAGATTTCCACTACATCTCCTTGAGCCTTAACCAATGCGCCACAACCCAAATGGTTAGATCTTTTAGCTGCTCTTGCTTGTAGAATATCACTAGCAGTTCAATTATTAACTGGATCTATAAATGCTCGTAACACCAATACCTGTATTAGAAGAAGTTGATGGTTTCCTGACCAAAATATCTGTCAAGCTGCTATCTGCTGATGTAGATGTCAGAATTGGAGTTGCCTGCGCAGTACATTCACATATGAATCACAAAAGGGCCAATTTATGAATTAAAACTCAAGGTTACAAAAATTTCGAATGGTTCCCCACTTCACTTTTCACCCAAAGAAAAATCACCCTGGCACTGCATCACTTGTAAGCTGATAGATGAACTTTTCAATTAAGCAATGCAATTTGACTACCATTGGCGATGAATTTGCAATAACAACCATTACGGTTTTGCAATTGAACATTTCCATATGGAAGGGATGCATTGTACATCGATTGTACTTTTGACTTGTTAATTGTTGTGTAATACTAATTGAACTAAGAAATGAAACGAGGTTATTTGGTTATAGTCAAGAAAAAAGCTCACAATTTTGAGGGATCTAAGCTTCTCTAGCACGGGATCTGCATCTTCTAAGCGCTCCGAGACGGTGGTGATCCCGTCTTCACTCTTCTTCACAGAAACAAAAATTACAGTGATCAAATTGTTTTGATTTTGTTAGAATGAACTAGGTTAAAGCGACGTTCACCTGTGAACTTAAGAGAGTAGATTCCGATGAGCCCATGGCCTAAGCGCCTTGGCTTTGGATATTATATATGCTTGCGTCTGAGTCTGTGTGATTGAAGACTGCCGGCGGACGGAATTAGTTGGATTGAACTGCCCTTGATGAAGCGGCGGTGATGACTTGGATCCGATTACAAACAAACAGGTTTTGTTAGAGATTAAACGGGTTGTTTCCACGTCGACCCATAGATCTTTGGTTGTACCTATTTTGTCCTTGATACCCGACCAAACGTAACTAAGTTGGGTATAAAGTCTTAAATATATCTTTCTTGGTTGTTGTCGACTTTAGGGTGTGTTTGGTACGTGAAACAGGGTGGGACAGGACACACATGTCCCATGTTTGGTGTGTTTTTAAGTGGAACTAACTAGAACTAACTTGGACACAGATGGGACACGGGTGTTCACCCTTACCCCATGGAACTAAGTGGAACAAGCTTCTTTTTACTAATCTACCCTCCTCACTCATCGTGCGTCCTTCCCTGTCGCTCCTCCATGCTCAGACTGCCTCCATCGCCTCCATGGCACCGACCCTCAATCGGCAACGACACCCTCCATCGCACCCTCCATCGCACTCTAGGTTCCCCTCCATGCTCAGACTGCCTCCATCGCACATCCTCCATTGCACCGACCCTCAATCGGCGACGGGAGTTCTAGTCCATACATACAGTCCGACAGCCTCCATCGCACCGACCCTCAATCGGCGACGGGAGTTCTAGTCCATACACACAGTCCGACGGCCTCCATCGCTATACCTTCTCCTTCATCAGGTACACGATTGCCCTAACCTTCTCCTTCTCATCGCTATGTTTGAATCGATTTAGGGTTTGCTAGGTTTGAATCGATTTAGGGTTTGCTAGGTTTGAATCGATTTAGGGTTTGCTTTGCAAAAATCGGCTGTTTAATCAAGCTCTAGCAATTCAAATTGCAATGGGATTGTTTGTAGTGTATATGGATATCTGATCAAGATCATATGGAAACAATACATTCTGCAGTAAGATTGATTTTGGTGAAAAAACACTAAACAACTCACTAAGGGTAAATTGGTCATTTTAACCAGTTCTGTCATGTCATGTCCTGTCTGCTCACCAAACGCATCATTAAAAAGGGTATAAATGCTTTTCTCCAACACTTAATTGATACATTTATCTCGAGACGTTACGTTCCATAAGAATGTACCTTTCTTTCCTGTATCCACTCCTTGCAACCCAAGAGATAGTGATGATTTGTTGGTATATACCATACATGTTCTTGAGTCTCCTATTCATCTGACTCGACACAACCTCAAGAGCCTACTAAACCACAGTAGTTCATGTATATAATAGGCGGCAACAACCTACATCAGATCCCGACCCTATACCATCTTCGTCATCATCTGCAGATTCGCCTAATAAGTATCCTCTTGCTTCGAGTGATGCACCTTCTAATATACGGGATCCTCCATCTTGATGATCCCATTACCCTCCGGAAAGGTAACTGCTCATGTACTTACTCTATTTCTTCTGTTATTTCATATGATAAACTTTCTTCATGTTCTCGTTCTTTGATCTCCACACTTGATTCTTTATATGTTCCTTAAATGGTTGGTGAAGCTTTGGCCCATCCTGGATATTAGGATGCTATGATTGATGAGATTAATGCTCTCGATCGTAATGATACCAGGATGCTATGATTGATGAGATTAATGCTCTAGATCGTAATGATACTAGGATTTGGTATAGTTACATGCGGGCAAAAAGACAATTGGTTGCAAATAGGTATTCACTGTGAAAGTCAATCCAAATGGGTCTGTGGCTCGTCTGAAATCCCAGTTGGTAGCCAAAGGATATGCTCAGACTTATGGGGTCGACTACTATGAAAATTATCTCCTGTGGCTAAGGTACCCTCCATTCGCATGTTTATTTCATTAGCCGCTCCTTACGACTAAGTACTACACCAACTAGATGTGAAAAATGACTTCTTGCATGGTGATTTACATGAGGAGGTTTATATGGATCAACCATCTGGGTTTGTTGCTCAATGGGAGTTTGGCAGAATCTGTAAACTGTGTAAATCACTGTATGGTTTAAAGCAAATCCCTCGTGCTTGGTTTGGACGGTTTAATGTCGTAGTGATTGAGTTTGGATTATGGAAGAGCTCTTTGTGTTCTTTACCTCATTCTCTTCTGGATGTATTCTACTTGTGGTGTACATTGACAACATTGTAATTACTATGAGTGATGAAACTAGGAATAATAAGGTGGAAGATTTACTTGCATCTCGATTTCAAACAAAGAACCTAAGTCCTTTAAAATACTTCTTGGGAATTGAAGTATCTCGTACTCAAAAAGTGATTTGTTTGTCTCAACGGAAATATTCTTTGGATATATTGAATGACTCTGGCATGATTGCAACAAAACCTTGTAAAGTTCCAATGATTCCAAATATGAAATTGAAAGCAGAAGATGGAGATCTACTTGAGGATCCAGAAAAATACAGAAGAATTGTGGGAAAACTAAACTACCTTATGGTTACATGTTCAAACATCGCTTTTTCCAGTGAGTGTTATAAGTGAGTTTATGTCATCTCCAAGAACTCCACATTGGGGCGTTGTTATGCATATAGTGAAGTACCTAAAGGGTACCCCTTGTCTTGGCATCCTTTATCAAAATCATGGTCATCATGTCATGTAGGGATGGAAAAGAAACCGAAACCGAAGGTGAAAACCGAAACTTTCAGGTCGGGTTTGGGGACATCTAATCAGGGACGGGGCAGGGATCGGGGACATATTCGGGGATTTTAACCGGGGGGGGGGGTAGTGATCATCGGCTCGTCCCGATATATTTTTATATATTTCTAATTTATATACATACATACATATCTATGCTATATTATAAAGTATTTGATAAAACTCTTAAAAATCATTTTTTATACATGAAGTACTTTTTATTGATGCATATTACTTAAAATTCAAGATTACAAGTAATTTGCATAAACACAACTTATTAAAACTCCATTTTTAAATTATTGTAACTAACTACAGATAAAAATAATCAAATACAAGATAAACATTCATTTTAAATATAGAAAATCTAAATTATAATTAAGATAATCATTGAGTTCTGCTATAATATTTAATTATTATCTTTATAAAAAATTATATTATTAAACCAAAAATAAATTATTTTGTTATTAAATCTAAATTAACGTATAATAAAAAAATTGAATTAAAGAAGTTACACCAAAAAAATGATAATTAGTAAATAGTTCATTTGATACTAATATCGATTTATTTATTTTCAAATTTATATTTCATTCAAAAAAAAAACATCGTTTTCTCAAAACCCCATAAAATCGTATTATATTAATAGAGAAGAATAAAAATTAAACACTAAAATAGAAATTTATCTCGCTGCATTGCGCGAGTACCCTTCTTGTGTATGTGTATAATAGTAACATTAAAACTTAAAATACTTTTATCTACTTTATCTCAACAAACCCAAATTGTAGTGTCTCTTGGTTTCAGTTTCATGAGAAGTAAAATTTAGTTTGAGATTGATGGGTTCATTCAGAAAGTAACTGCAATACATAACCATATATCAGAAGAAAAAGAATAATGACAGTTTATAAAATTTTCATTGCCTCACAAAAAAAATTAGGAACAACTACCATATCTAGTTTGGGGAGTGCATAAGGCATCCACAAATACATAGACAACTCCAAAAATGAGATTACTAAACAATATGCCAATGGTCGGTGTTTCAGATTTGGCTCTCTCTCTCAATTTGGTTTTGTTTATCTATTGGTTCAAGAAATAAACATGAATATATGGTCCTAATTCTGTATAATTATACATAAATTCAAGCTTGAATGAACATAAATAAACATAAGCACCTGACAAACAGAATAAACATAAACATCAGTATATGGTCTTGAATGAGTGTATATGGTCTTGATTCAATATAAATTAACATAAAACTGAACATTTTGAAGAGGGGAAGGAAGATTTGAACCTATGTTTAGGAGGATTTGAACCCTTAAACAAAACATTTTGAAATCAGGAACTGATATAGAGAGAAGAGAACCGAGACTTTGAATCGATAATGGTACATGCTTGATACAAGAGATTGAAGGCTTCGATACGGAAGGCTATCTTGGGAGCATGAGTAGTTGTCTTGGTAGTAGGAATCGATTTTCTGGAAGCGAAACTCACCAGAAAGATTTAAGTTAAAGTGTTGAGTTGTACATAAAGTTCATAATGTTGTTTTTAAGACTTTTAAGACTCTATGCATTAATAAATAATACTTTTTGTATTAAAAATTATTTTAAAGAGTTTTATGAAATTTGATTTATAAGGTAGTATAGATTAACTGTTAAATATTAATTATGGTTAGTTAACGAATTGGGTTACGAATGATGCTCCTAAATTACAATATTTGGAAAATAGAATTCGAAATTGAGGAACAAATCGATCAAGATTGACACAAGAAAGTCACCAAGAAAACACAATTCCTTTGAAGAAAAACGTTGCAATCAACGATTCATAGCCACTGGCATTTAACGGTCAAGATCATCTCTTTCGTGATCCGCGTGACAGAAGCCTGACCAATCAGAAACCACTCGTAGAATTTTACGCGATCATTCTCTACTATAAATAGCTTATCGCACTAATTCCTTCTGTAACAAATTCGAGATTAAACACACAATACAGTTACTAGCTTTTTTCTGAAGGTTTCGTGATGTCGTCAACCAGAGAAGGGGAGAACGTCAACGACACTGTCGAGCAACCTGCGACGGAGAAGCCGCTGCAGGCTGTTGAGAAGGTAGTAAAGGAGAAGAAGGCTAAGGCTCCAAAAGAGAAGAAGTCGACTAAGAGCGCTTCTCATCCTCCTTATTTCCAGGTTTGTGATGGCTTTAATGTCGGTGATCGCATTAATTTGTAACTTTATGTGATCATGATCTGTAAGAAGTTTTCATTTGATCGGTACTAATGATTTTCAACGTATGATCGTTTTGATTTCTGAATCAATTATTGTTTTGATCTACGATTGGATTATGCAATTCTATGGCTAATTTGTTATGATTAGCTTTAACTGTTTGCAATTTTGATCGATGATCACATGGCAGAGGTTAGTTGAAATGACGTTTGGTTTGTTAATCAAGTCATTGTTACTGTTTTAGAAGGTTTGAAATAGATACTGAGTTTGAATGTTGTTGCAGATGATCAAAGAAGCACTGTTGGCTCTGAATGAGAAAGGCGGTTCGAGCCCCCACGCGATCGCAAAGTACATGGAAGAGAAACACAAGGCGGTGCTACCAGAGAATTTTAGGAAGATGCTTGCTGTCCAGTTGAAGAATTCTGCTTCAAAAGGCAAACTCACGAAAGTCAAGGCTTCGTACAAGCTATGTGAATCCGGTAAGAAAGAGAAGGCACCACCGGCGGCCGCAGGTGGGAAGAAGCCTACAATTGCAGCCAAAAAACCTAAGCAAACAAAGGCGAAAAAACCTGCTGCCACCGCCACAACTGGTGGATCAAATAAAGTGGCGAAATCACCTAAGAAATCTGCTCGTACAGCGACGGTGAAGAAACAGGCTACTGTGAAGAAGGCGAAGAAAATGACTCCGGCGAAGCCGAAACAACCGAAGTCCATCAAATCTCCTGCTGCTAAGAAGGCTAGGAAAGCAACTACTTGATTTTGAGTTCCTTTATGTAAAAAAGTAGTAGAAATGCCAGCAGTAACTATGTATATTCGAGTCGTTTCTGAGCTCTAGTTATATATCGAAATGTTGCCTCCGCTGTTTTCCATGGAAGAATAAGAGAAATGAATTCTCTGTGATCATGATGATGATGATGTGGGGAAAAGGATTCCGACTTCCGGTATGCAATCCATTTTATCAGATTCGATTCTATCGCCAATGCCATTGGCATTTTGGCCTTATCCAAAAAAACTAGTTTTGACGCAAAGAATCCGATGGACGGGGCCTCTAGAAAGGTCCAGAAGAACCTTGTGGCGCCAGGGTAGTGGGCTAAAATTATGGAGCGGTTTTGATTTAACGAGATGGTGGGTCTTTATTTAGTTTTATCGGTTTAGGTGTATGGGATTGGTTATTTGAAATAATTTATATTTTTTTATAAAAACATTTATTAATTTATTATAAATCAATTTTAATTTTTTTAAATATTTTTTATTATTGGTTTAATATCGGTATAAGTTGTTTATTTAAACACTTAAAAATATTTATTATTGATATCACATCGAAATAAGTCAATAAGTTATTTTTATAAATAATTCTAAACATCATTGTATGTAATTGATGATGAAGTTGAAGAGCAAGATACCATAATAGCTAAAAATATGATACTGAATGGATACATATGTTCTATAATAGGCCTAAGACAAATAAAAGTTAGACCCAATTCTAATTCTTGTCAACTAATATAGAACTCTTATTTGAAGGAGTTATTTTGATCAATTGAACTCTAATTCCTCTAACTTCTAAGTGTCAACCAATTCATTTTATTTCTCTTGTTTTGTTTGCTATAATGCCAATGCATAAGTTATTTTTATTCAATTAAAGTGGACCTTTAAGCTGAAAACCAAATAACCCAAAATCGTATTGACTCGAAAGAGTTATTCGGTTTCAGATTTTTTTGACATCCTTAAAAAATGTCCCCCAATAATAAAAATTTCTAGATCTGTCACTGGTTGAGAGAGTGAATCATGAAGTATACATAGATGGAAATGGGAGGTTGATTTGATCATCCAATCATTGAGCATAACAACATAAAGAGCAAAGTGAGAGATAACATTATACTAATCAAACTATTAATCCACTAATCTGGTTTTAAAGAAAGTCACAACTTTGTATACCATTTTTATCGGTTTATTTACATATTTTTTAGAGAAGTTCAACATCAATACTTAACGAAGCTTAACTGTCATATAAACAACTGGTCTAGTTCAAATACTAAGTTCGTATTACAAACGGATCTCCCATTCAGATTATATCACATCATTTTGTATTTAAAATGTAATTATATACAATTATTTTGTAAGCCTTTTATCATCTACAATAGATTGGTTGGTTGTTTAAGTAGGGCTTCATAAACATAGCAGGTAAAAAGCCGGAAATCCTTGTAAAATGATTGATAGGTTTGAGTTCAACTCGTGCTATCACGTAATTATCCATGGAATGTATAGTTTACCACTCCATAATGATCATGAAACCGGCACATCAGGGGAACTCGAGAGGGTGATCAAGTTACAAGATCGTTCATTCAAAGTTACCCCCTTACATCATAAATACACTATCTTTTTTGAATTCATAAAAATGTTGAACCCAAATCGCCTTTTTAAGTTATTTTCGTATTCAAGTTAAAAGATGTAAAAATAAAAGTACATACGAGTTTTGTATTAAAAAATATACTAACATAAAAAAACACTGTTTACAGTCTTCATGTAACATTCTAAAATTATATACAAACATTAATGCAATTTATTTTATTTAAAATATAAAAAGCAAGCTTTCTTAGGTTTATTTCTAAATTTTCAGGTTAAATTAAAAAAAGAAAAAAAAACACGACATCATATCTTGAGTTGATCGCAATTTCCGACTACACGAAAATCAAATTGATTTTTTTAAAGGATTTTGGTCTTAAATTCAAAAAGACGAAGAAAACTGATAAGGAGTTAGTCATGTTACCCATAATTGCGATAGTGAACCAGAAATTGTTGAACCGGGGAGAAACCGAAAATGATCGTTTTTCCGCAGGAAGAAAGAGGACGAGTGTGGAAGAATTAGTTTAAAAAAATATTTAAGGTTGTAAAGTATCAGAAAAGTAAAAAAACCAAGATTATCAGAATGCATATTAAAATCAAAAGGATCAGTCTACTCTTTACGACAATATCTTAATTTATATGCAAATGAGTCAACTCGTTAACTTCTTCACGACCATTGAAACAAACAAGTCACGACTAAATTATAACTCCAATTGGATAAACTATAAATAAAAATATGAACCCTTATTTATACTCAAAATAATCAACTCTAAATATATAGCTCCAGTATCAACCCACCATTGTCTCGAATTCGTATCCAACAGATTCGCCTCCGAAACCATAGCCGTGAGATCCGTAATCATGGCCACCAAATCATCATCATCATTCATCATGTTCGCTTGACGGTTATTATCGCGTTTCGGTTGCTTGCACTCAGAAGCTTTGTGACCCGATTTGCCACAGTTATAACACTTGAACGTCTTCTTCTTGAAAGTTCTAGCTTTTGGCCCAAGGTTCTTAGCTTTTCCTTTCGGGGTATCTTATTCAAAAGATACTAAAATGAACATAAAATTACTAATCACGTGTACAGAGTAAGGTTGAAGGGAATATCCTAAATAAATGGAAAATAGAAAAAATCTTATCAAACCGTTAGATTAATTGATTTAAATGACATTATTAAATGGATGACCAAAAGTGGTTAAATAGACGGTTACAACATATCTTATAAATAAAGAAAACGCACCTCCTTTATTATCTAAAAAATACCAAAAAACAAAATTCAAGTGAAATAAATTATATCAATAATTTTTCATCCGTTTTTTTTACTTTCCATTTATTTAACGTTTTCTCAATGAACATAACCCAATAACTTTAAACAAGAATTCAGAAATGAGAAAACATATGAGCCTAGGAAACAAGTGAAGTCATTTTTAGGGTTAGGCCCGATATCACATCTAGGGCCATTTTGGGCCGGCCCAGTCCAATTATAGCACTTGGAATGGAAGTTGAAACTCTTTTACAATTAGGCCCGAAAATATATCTACAAAATTTAAATATGTCAATTTAGTGTATAAATTGGGAAATTCAAAATAAAAAGGTTAAATATCGTGAGAAGGTAAGAAAAAAAAAGTTCATATCTAAATTATTAAAGAAAATTATTTAAAGATCCATATGCGAACCCATATGAATAATCTGTAACGATGATTTACATCAAATAGGTTTTTCCTAATTTTCCAAAGATTCACGTATGAATCTTTTCTTAAGTTTCTCACGGTATTTAGTCTTTTTATTTGAACTGATCTTTAGCATATAAAAAATGGATTGTAAATGTGTTCATCTGACGTTCCTTTTTGCAGTATTTAACTTGTTTGTTTTTAATCTTCTCTACATCTATATGATATGATCATCATAAGATGCTAAAATGAAGACAAGCAAAAGAGAAGGACTGAAAATGCTATTACATAAAACTTGCTAAGTCAAGGGGGGTCATATGCTCACTTCTCAAAGTAATGGACTAAAAGAGGAAAGGGCACTAAACATGTTTAAATAGAATGTGTTCATGGTGGTTCAATATTTTTGAGGGTTGCAACGCCATTAAGCAACGGTAGAAATTAGTTCTCATTTGATTACAATCATGTATGAAGCAAAACTTATAGAGAAAAAGTAAAAGGTTAATGTAACGGATTTTACGTCAAAATCATGCTTAAATACATGTTTAGTAGCATAAGACGGTTTAAAATCATTTAACACGTGTTTTAGGTCAGGCATAAGGTCTTGATGTTGGTGATTTGTATCACCAATATCATTTAAGTGTAATGAGATTTAATTTGTTGACCTATGTAATCTTGATAAATATTGAACAAGTAAGGATGGTGCAAAATGCACACTTGTTTGAGTTTATTTCGATTTAAAGTATATCGTTATTTTGGGGCAAAACCCCTAAGTGACGGGGGTCCGGGGGCAACTCCCCTGGTAGCAGGGTCCAAGGGGCAGAGCCCCCGGCTGGGGTCGATGGTTATGAAAATTCACGAAAATCCGAATTTGTTTGAGTTTATTCGGGTTAATGTTACCATATGGAAAATGCACGAAAATCCGAATTTGTGATTTTGAACCCGGTTTTTGGCCCTGTTTTTTAAACCCGGTTTGGTGGTTTTGAAACTGTCTTTTAACAATTTTCGAATTCTTTTTCGTATTGGTCATTTGATTTTCGAGGGTACAGATAGATTCATAACATCGATTCTCTGTTCGAATTACTGAATTTTATCCGATTGAAGTTTCGATTGTACCATCGAAATATTTCAATCTGAAAGTGAATCACAACTTTCAGTAATTCAAGCAATCGAAACACCCAGAAATTCTAATTAACACTTGAGGGCATTAATTTTGAGTATAAACACTATTATTGGTGTGCGTTATCTAAAAACATAACTTATGATATGATATGATATGATGATATAGTGATGTATAACTGGAACAAGTGTTACATATACATGTTAATTAGGTTTATGTGAAAAAAGAAGTGATTTGAGTTACAACCATATCATTTGTAGCAAAAATGGTGTAGTCCGACATGGTAGGAAATGCGGAGGGTTAACGAACGTTGAACCCTAAAAACGGGATGAGTTCACTGGCAATAAAGTCAAAGAAATGTAGAGATCGACTACAATAATGTTATTAATAATCAAACCTAGTGAAAACCCAATACCTCAAGGGTGTTTATATAAGGAAAAAGGAAATCTTAAAGTGATTAAAATATGAGTAAAGCCCGTTGGACAAAAAACCAAATAGTTACGAAATCAAAATGAAAAAGACAAACTCTGAAAAATAAAAAACACAAGCTTGTGGCCAAAAAGAGCCCATATGTCATGATGAAGTGATGAGTTTGATTCGTTGGTCTGTTTCGCTTCGAGAATTTTGATTGCTTCCAAAAATATATTTTAGGGGTTGTTTACCAAACGCTTACCTAGTTAAGAGTTTACTAAGTCACATTACCTTACCGGATGAATGTGGTAAGGACAAAAAATCTTACCCGGTAAGAGCGAGGCAAGGAAAAAAGTCTTGCT